AGTCAGCCATAGCTTGCGGCTCTGGGTGTTCGAGTGCTGCCAGGGTTCCTCGTTGATCTTTCGCTGACTTCAAAATCAACGTCGCAGCTTCTGCAGTTGCAGCTGCCTCAGCGCTTTGCTCGCCGTTGACCTCCGTTGGTATAGCGATGTCATTGAGCTAAGAAAATCAGTACGCACATACTAATTCAATGAACAATGTTGATATAAACTCACTAAACGACGCAATTGCACATCTCGTGAAAAGCCACGAAAGAACGTCACCTCAAGCTCACCTCCATCATGATTATTCGTGGAATAGCTCTTTAACACCTTGTTTAACCGCTCTGAAAGAAAGGACCAGAATCCGTATACAGGTCCGTAATCATCGATCTGGTCAAATATGTGGGTGACATAGTGAAAGTTGGGCTTGACTTTGTCGGGGTGTACCTGCAAAGTATCTGACGATCATTGTATGTTCATGATATGTAAATATTGACGTACGCGCTGATAACCTTGCAGATACTCCTCCAGAAGTACCCGTGCACGATCTAATTCTGGCTGATATACAGTACGTGCGAGAATGAGCTTGAGAGCAGTCGCAAAGCTCAGAAAGTTGTCAGCGTCATCAGCGTGCATACGACGCTTTGGTTTTGATGCAGGTGCTTCCTCGGTGCCATCCACTCTTCGTTTACCTTTATCTATCCGACGTTTACGTGCTTCCTCCTTTTTCTTCCACGTCTCGACTGCCTTTTGATATGCCTTCTCTGCAGACGGCTGCCATTCTTGCCAGATTAATGGGACCTATCAAGAGCAATCTACGAGACAATTCAAGATCTGAAAATGAAAGACGTACCACGACTGGCCCATAGTTAAGCACGAGGCCCTTCCACTCATCTGCAGTAAGTGATCCTCCTGCAGGGTACCCTATCTCACTCGGCAGTCGTGCAACCCAACGAGGCATTTCAAACTGGCGAGATAGTGCAATGAATCACGAGACGACACAGAGCAATGGAAACTTACATTCGCAAGGTATTCGTGGACTTGGTCCAGTTCTCGCTTGACTTTCTTGCCTTTGGTTCGCTCTCGCAATGCATTCTCATCAATCCAAACATTCAGCCATTGCGTCTTGACTATGCCTTGATATATTGAAAGATTAGTAGTACAATTACAATTCGGAGTGAGCGAAACACGTACCAAGCAGAATGTTATGCATTGGATCTATGATTGACATACGCACCGCATCGAAGTAAGGTAAGCGCGAGAGCTCATAAAATCGCACTGCATGTAGAGCGAAGAGTTCATCGCGTTTTTGACTATCCGTTTCACGTTGATATTCAAGAGCATGCCGGCGATGTTCCTCTTCGTTGCGTGGTGGGAATGCTTAGAAATGGAGAGGTTAGGTACCTCAAAAATAGGTTCAGAAGGTCAAAAACTCACCGTTTATGCTCATGCCTGCTTGCGTCGAGAGTTGATCACGAGGGATTTTGCACTTTGTACAGAAAGCTGTCTTGGTGTTGTGGTCACCAAAGCCACACATGCGGCACAGTGCTGGATGATCACATATTACGCCTATGAGAATAACGCGCACTCGACGGCCTATATCCAGTGGAGTAATCAGACTGAGTCATTCAATCTGTTATATCGTGCTTTACCTTCTGGGAACAGCGGCGTCTTCACTACGATTCCATGCTCGAAGAGAAGCAGAAGATCAGTTACATACTCTTCAAGAAAGAGTTGTAACTCATCCCCCGTTAGTTCCCGTGGGCCCGGTGATAGGCCACATAGGATGAGATTGCGTGATTGATACCTGAAGTCGTATCAGCCACAGTGCATGAAAATGAACTAAAACACGTACTTTTGCTCTGTATCGAGGTTTGCAATACAGTTTGAGAGGACGCCGGTGCTATGTTTACCTGCAAACTGGCTTCGCTGATAACCAAATCTATATAAGGTCAAAATCAGCATCGAAGCGTTATAGATAATGTCATCGTACCCGTCGAAGCTAATGGTTACCGCAATGCGTAACTCTGTTGGATCAAGGCGATCAGGACCATTGTAAAAAAATGGCTGCGATTGACCTGGTGGCCCAGGAAGCGATGACCACAGCTTGCCGTCATAGACGCCTCGCATTGCGCCAGGCCGTGGTTCGCCTTTCAAACGCCATGAGTCGATAGACTCTTCTAAATGAGTGACATATCCAGGAAGTTGCTCTGACAGTAGCGAGTATGGGACCTGTAGCTTCGGTGTGGACATCATGCGAGTAGTCTGTGTTTCATCTACAGCATCAGAGAACATCGAATTGGATGGTTTGAAGATCGAAATGCTGCACTTAGAACACTGAAGATCAGGAGGAGAATTCGCAGGATAGAGCCTATGGCAAGCGGGGCACATGGCCTTGACCTCGAATTGATCTGTAAGCGCAAGCTGGTTCATTGACGTCGTCAGAGTAATGGGAGTGTCAGATGCCTTATCAATAAGCCCAAGAGCCACGAAGATGATGCGTAGGACCTGGAGTATCAGAGCGCATGCCCGGAAGGGCAGATGGTACTGTAGGTAGAGCCAAGAACATAGCAGCATTAGTATGCGCCAAAACCAAACTTCGCTAGAGCTGAGCAGAAGTTCGGTTGATGTTGCGTGATGGTCCACTGAGTGCTCTTGACGTCGACGATGATCTGCATGAGTAGGTACTCGATCTGGTGTGGATCGATGCAGCGGCAAAGGGACCGGCCCTTGCAATTCATTCGGCAGTGACGCAGCAAGTCCTGGGTGGTTATGCTCTTCATCAGCATTGCGTGAGGGTGTCTCGGACACCACAGAATCTGGGGCATCCATTGGAAGCCCAACATCAGCTACGTCGTTCGATGAGTGGATCGACGGAGCATGCTGCTCCTGCCAGTGTGCACTAGGGAGATCGACATGATGACCACGTAGGACCTCTGATAGATTGCTAGCGCGTTCAATGGCTGCTTCTAGACTGCCGCTACGTTCTGTGTTGTAGATAGATAAGAATAAAGGGAAGGATTATCAGTTTTGATTACACGTACCTTGTAGAGGAACTCGTCTCTCAGCCTCTGCGGAGATATCTAGAGATCCTGAGTGCGAGGCTATAAAGGGCTCGTCCTGCAAGTCCAAGGCGGAGAGGTCCTGACAAAATGAACTTGCACTATTCGGCATCTCATAGTCTTCCGAAGGTCTCAGGCTGTCGAGAGAAGCATCGTGCTGGAGAGACACTGGGACAGGCTCAGGGGAACTGGAAAGAGAATACAGTGACTTAGAGGTGGAATGAGTGGGAGCAGTCACCGTCGATGCTATGGACTCAAGACGTGAAGATCTAGGTACATTGGATTCTGGCACTGCAAGAGACGGTATTGGGATGGCGAGGGGAGCATTAGATGGAGGAGATACTGGAGACGCGATTGGGCGTGGGTCAGACGGCGGCGAGATAAGCTTTGACCGGATTGTCTCCTTTGATCTCGTCGAGTCCTTCGACTTAGGACTCGGCTTCAATTTCTTCAAGACTTTTCTAAGAATGCCAGATTTTGTCAGTTTCGTTAGCTCTCCGTCATCGTCATCGTCGTCTGAAGCCTCCCAAGTAGCAAGGTTTGCTGTCCCAGTATTGTCGTCCTTGGCATGGTTCAGTGCTACAGAGCGCGACACAAATTTGCCGTTGCAGCTGTACGTTTTACAATAGCATCGCACTTGTTTTTTCTGGTAGTCGTACTGCAGCGCATTACATGAGCAGGTTGGGAAATCTCTAAAATGCTATAGGTGGCACACCTTAAGCTTTGAGCTACTCGCGTTCTTCGACTTCAGTGGCATGACGAGGCAAACGGTCGTGGAGACACAGAAGAGAGATGGGGAAAAATATATCAATGCGTGCTCTGGCAGAGTCTGCGCTCAACCTTGGCGCAGATCCTGGTAGGAAGCATACACCATGTATGGATAGGTGATCGGTAATGACCTAGACCAAGGTTGCGGTGATGGCCTGTACACTGGGATTGGCCTACCCGCCTATGCGAATCTAGACCCACCTACGCAAAGCTAGCGAGGTGTTGAATAGCTCGTCTATTCCGCGCATTCGTCTACCATCAGATACTAACACTAAGCGAGGCTACACACACGCTACGTTATACTCCACTACGCGAAGCCTGAATCTACACCGCGTACAGCTTGTCTATACCTACCTACACGGATCCACGCTAAATCGGTGTACCGAGACCCTGAACGCAGTGATTGTAGCCGCGCCCTATTATATACACGCGCGCTACTATTCTCCCACGCCGGTGGCGCAGGTCGCACCGGGGCCTCTCGCATCTGCGCTCTGTGCCCAGATTCCAACACTTCTCATGCAGGCTGTGTATCTTCCTATGTGGCTTATACATGCAGAGATTCAAGTTGAAGCGAAGATATGGAAACCGGTCCTGCCGGATGACGAGATCCAGCAGGTAGCTTAAGCATCCTGCAACTCACACACATCTGTCTGAACGTGGCTTTTTCCAAGCAAAGCGTGCTGTGTATTCAACAAGCTCAAAGATCGTACGTTCGTATGCCATCTATCACGCTTCGCCATCCGACATGTCGTCCTCTGGTGCATGCCAGGGCTAGGGTTATTTGGCATGTTCTATGACACCTGACTGTTCACTCCACCACGAAGGCATCGCTCATGACCCATTTGTCTCGAATCTCATTCTCATTCGAGCGATCCAACTGGATCGCATTTTGCATTCCCACCTCTGAGTTGCATAACCAACCTCTCGAAGAGGACATTATATACATGGAGTTTCAGCGCACTCCGGGACCGTTGGACATCATGGACGCTGTCCGTTCGTTTTCACGAGAACAAGCAAATATGGGAAAGGATGTACGGTTTCATCCTAGTACCGCGAAGGAAATTTTCGTGCGTCAATTGATTACAGCCTACTCAAACTTCGGTTTCTGTTGCCGCTTTGGTTCGCACAACATGAGACTGTTTCAGGACAAAGAATCACCGTGATACTAGAGGCGTATCATTCGGACAATGTCAGTTCATCAGCTTTTCTACCTTCTGTGACCCATTCAATATGATAATATGCACGACCCATGCACTCAAAATGCAGCTCGTTTCTTGCATAGGTCTGGTCGGACTCGGACCGTTGGCGAGTGAGGTGAGTCGAAGCTTAAAGCTTTCGACATAATGCATGGTGATATTGCCCGATCCCAGTACAATTTTCATCCATGCTATTTGCTATGTGGGGTAAAGGACACGCTGTGCGCTCCTCACCCGTGGTTTGTCCTTGAAATGTAGGAAACATCCACTGACTTATGCAGAAGGACAGCAGCCACCAGGATCCCTACACCATCGACCGTGAGCACAGTGGTTCACAGCCATTTTTCTCACTTACACCTTGACTCGCAACGGACACACACACCGACAGTGGTTGTAATACTTTCCGATGTCCGTGAGACAGGAGTTCGGATGAGGTGCGCGGAGAAAACTAATTCCACCGCCATACATTGCTGTATAACCGCTTAGAAGCGACAGGACAATCACGATATCTACGGCCTTTCAAGAAAAGTTTACCGAGTCGGTCTTCGCCAGTATCCCAAATACCCTCCACTTGAACTGTTTTGCACTGGTGAAAGAATGAGTATATAGGTTATCGAGAACTACATATCACATCCACGGCCATAGGACTCTGAAAACACCGCATCCCGTCCGATCTGCGCAGTTAACCAGAGTGCCGCCTAGTTAGTACCACGGTGGGGGACCACGCGGGAATCCTGGGTGCTGTGGTTTTTTTTGGCGGGTATCTTTATTTGATTATTTATTGAAGCTGTATACAGAGAAACTGTGATCCAGCAGACCTTCTTTCTAAGCATGCTGGATATCTGACCAAAGGCATGTCACGCAGAGATGAGCTGCTCAAACAGACATGAACAGCATATTAACATTCTAATTATGTCGGCACTTTAATAACTGTGATAGTATGTAGTGCAGCAGAGCTCCACACCTACTCACACTTACAATATTACTTCACAGGTACACATGCTAACAGAGGTTCTACTACATGCCGATGTCATTTCTAGGATTCCAAGGCTACAGGCTACAATGGGGAATGATTAATGACACACGAAACCGTGACACTGGTACAAGGACGATAAATATTCGCATGTAAAGACTCCGAGAAAGTGGCGATGGCACAAGCGAGAAGTAGTGATGACGGAAGACGTACGAGTCCCTGGAATAGAACATGAATGTGGGTCCATGGAGGTGGGGTGTTTGCATATATTTCTTGTGAACGAGTCCCGAGGCACGGGATGATGGGCACGGAGAGAGAGAGTAGCGAACGCATGTATTGAGCAGTCTGTCCGTGCATGCAGGATAGGGAATGGACCGAGACTCCGACCTTTGAAATTTGAGTGCTGATTCTTGATGTACGGCGCCACATTCTACGCCCCTGCTGCCTCAGGAAGTGCCTTTCCTTGCTCTCCACCAGCTGCTAGCCCACCTTCACGCGCAGCCCGCAGACACATCTCCCCCATCCGCTCCCACACCACCCTCGCACGGCGTGCACCCTCCTCGGCGCGGCGTGCCTCCTCCTTGGTGTCCTCTGCCTCCCTTCTTGCCCGCTCCTCTCCCCTCCTCGCCTCGCTCTCCCTCCGTTCTGCGCCTCGCCGCGCCTCCACCTCTGCGCGCGCCTGCGCGAGCGCAAACGCCTCGCCGCGCTTCGCCTGCTCCAGCTCACGTTCGACGCGGCGCCGCACAGTCCGCTCCGTGCCGAGCTCATCCTCTAGCCTGCGCTTCGCCGCAAGCGACTCGTCCGCGCGGTCGCGCAGAATACGCACCTCGCGCTCCAGGGTCGGTACGCGACTGTCAATCGTGTGCGTTTGCGACCGGGGCAAGACGTTCTCGCGCTCGTTCTTGGAAGCCGTCTGTTCGCGTCGATTCCCGGTGGGTCGGCGCACGTTGCTTGTATCCATCAGCGGGCAGACTTCCTGCGTAGCCAGCGCCTCTCTCCTGTCCTTAGCCTGCATCCCACTTACTTCCATCGACCGCCTCTCCGGCGCGCTTGCCCACTTCGATAAGACCTGGGCTGCCACTGGAGGGAGCACCTCGCCATACACCAGTTTTAGGCATTCGGCTGCACGCCGCGCATGCTCCTCTGCCTCGCGCCCTTGCGTCCGCACCACGAGGTCGCGGTAACAGCTCGCGAGCATCAAGTATGCCGGCCGCAGCGCCGCCACGGGCAGCGATACCGGCGAGCTCGTCATCACTGCGCGCAATCGTCAGTGCATAGATCTCACACCAGAGAGATCGCACTCACCGTTGATCATCTCCGACACGACTTGCACCGCGCTGAGAACGAGCCCACGCCCGCGGTACCAGCCAGCGACGACCATCCATTTATCACGCTCGAGCATGCTGCCTGCCGTGACGCGCAACACGTCGATGATTCCGGCCGCATCAGCGTCGAGAGCGTCGAGCGCAACGGAAAGCGGCGAGCCGTGGAACGTAAGTGTAATGACGGGCGCAGAGTTCGCTGTCGATGTCGCTGGGGCGGCTGCCCGTTCGGACAGCCTCTGCAGCAGGCTCACAGCTGCGTCTGACCCTTTAATCTTCAAGTCAGGGACCAGCCCTGGAACGGACGTGGATGAATGCGATGACACGGATACATTCGCCGGGTTCGTCACGGCTGCAGCCTTTCTTTCCGCGGCCTGCCTCCTGAGCTGTTGCGTGCGACGCTTGCCTCCTCGCGGAGGACGACGGCGCAGAGGGGACATAGATGTCGGCATGCACGTCGACTCGGGTGAAGGAGCGCGCGACTCACCAGAGTCCCCGTCGTCGTCGTCCGTTGCAATGACGCTTGCGGAAAGCTTGGACGTTTTGCTACCATGCTCTTTCCCATTAGTTTGGTTGATCCGGAGTATAGTCCCTCCAATGCGTGGCTTGCTATCTGTCTGGTAAGGTCCCTCGGGCGCCAACTCAATGGCGGGTGCAGCGGCCACGCCAGCGGACGGCTCCCGCAACAAGTTCACTGCCGCATCTTGCTCTTCGCTCTTCATGCCGGGCACAGATCCTGGCGATGATAACGACGATGTGGACAGTGCACTCGCTTTGGCTGCTGCATCCCTCTCGCGATTACGCCGCTGAGTGACGCGCTTGCCTGCTCGGCGCCGGGGCCGGCGCACAGATGTCGGCACGGATGTCGACTCAGAAGCAGCGCTCGACTCACCAGAGTCTTCGCCAACGTCCCTTGCGGCGAGGATGAGCTCCTCTAGCGCCTCGCTCTTCTGGCTTACGCCGAGCTTGCTGCTCGTTGCCTGCAGTAATGGTCCGAGGACAAACTCAGGCTGCGTCGCCGTGCTCTGGTCAAGCTTTCGTTTTCCGAGAGCCGACCTTGGCTCACTGAATGGAGGCGCGGGAGAGGAGGCAAGGGCGGTGGGTGTATGCGGACGCGAGAGTTGCCTACGCGGAAGGGGAACCGTGTTGCGTGGACCAAGCGGCGGGGTGGCGTCGTGCTTGCGCATCTGGGCGGGTGCGGTGGGTGGCGACGGTGCGAGCGAGGTAAAGTGGGTGCAGAGGGTGTGCGAAAAGGCGACTACATGCACAGTGGTATGTGGCAGTTGCAGTGCACGGGCACGCTTGACAGACGAGTCGTCTGCGAATTCGATGAAATAGGCGTGGGAGGGCTGCTCAGCGCGGCGGATCCAGGGGTATATCTGCGTGCTGTACTAGGGTGAGTATATGCGGTCACGAGCGGGGTGTATGCGCACATGTTCCCGCACTGGGCAAAAGCGGCGCGAATGTCGGCCTCGACGTGGTCGGTTTCGACGAAGACGATGCGGTGGATGCGGTCGGTGGGCATGGCGCGCACGCAGAGGGAGAGGGTGACGGCGAGGTAGGCTGTTGAAGGGCATGGTTGACTTGCTATATACAGTGATCGACCGCCTAGCGCATCACCCGTCTCCTCCCGCCACTCACTCTGATCATGTCCCGTGACCGCGTTCCATTGGCCGCCACAATCCCCAGGATTGGCGGCTGTCGCGTGCGGTATGCCATTCGATATCCGCAAGCACAGTGAGGACAGCATTCGGCTCTGATGATTGGAAAAACTGAGCATACAAGTTTGCGTACGCGAGTTCCAATGGAACAACATTAACTAAGAAGGATCCCGCGATATGCTTCTATTGGTTCGATTTAGATGGAAGCGTACAGAACAAGCTCGTCAACTGACCCCCGTATTCTTTCAGCAATTAGACAGCCGGAACTTGCCAAATTCTCTCGACGAGATTTCATCGGCATCCGCCGCGGGGCTCACAGTTTCACTGCCGACTATGTGTACCACGCTAGTGCTGAGGTTGAAGGCAGCACCATCAGCACCTCAAACAATGAGACCGAAAGTTCACAGACCTGCACGGAACATATGCCGTCACGAAGCAATGAATTATGCTAGGCAATGGCTGATGAGACCATCGATCTGCACACAGGCATCCTAGTGCATTAATGTGCAGTAGCTGCGAGACCAGCAGACATGCAAACACTTACATGCGGTAAAATTGCCAAGCACGCGTGGATGCCATGAGAGGTATAGAGATGGACCTCCTCAAATCTTGCATGTTAAGCATTGATTCTCCGCCAGTCAACTGGAAATCGACTGATCCCCACCGCGACTATCGAGTACAAGGTTGAAGGGACGCTGATGAAAGCAAGAAGCAGAGTGGCATCTAGTGATTGATGAACCTGAGCAGAGGCTAGCGAACTTGAAGCCATCATGAACCGGCTATATGCTTCGTGATGGTCTAGACTTGGTAGTCTCTAGAGGTAAGGCGCTGAACGATGGTGGGCAAAGCAGCTATGTCTGCGTTCAAAGCTCGCCCGACGTACTTTTCAACCGCGGTATACTAACGCACCAGGCACCATTCTGCAATGCTCAGAGACTGATACACGGAGGAGCAAGGCAGGTGTTTCGAATTGTCATAGATTTATTATGGGGCAAGTTCCATTTTGGAGATAGAGATCGACGATGTCGAGGAGAGTAAACTATGAGAGACCGTCACGTCAGCGTCATTGCCAGTGTGCCGAAGCCTAGCAGATATTATTCAGAGACAGCAGACAAGAGGTACACATCATTGGGTGCAGAAACAGACGCAGAGTGAGCGCGAACGTGAGAGGGTGCTTGACAGCAAGAGCAAAGCGAGAGATCGCGCAACTAGGGCCACGGAACGCGCGCTTAACGCGAGCCGTCACGATCCGTCACAGAGCTCTGTCACAACTATACAGCATCCCGGCGCCTGCCGCCACCGCAAACCTTGTTGCAACAAGCCCAAACAAGTCGGTAAGCCACACGCGGGAACCGCGCTCGTCGCCGTCGTCGTCTCACTCGCCCTCGCCAGCTCTAGTACCCCTCAAGACACCATCTACGCTCGCAAGAACAAAATGGCTGCGGTGCAGACGCTCCCAAAGGACATCTCTAGGCTCGGTCAGGAGGTCAAACTCTTTGGCAAGTGGGACACCCAGGAGTGCGTCCACATGTCTTTGCATGCTGAGGGCAGAAATGCTGACCCTGCACACTTTCTCGATTGTTTCCTATTTCTTGCTCGGTGCTGGTGGATGGTTGCGGACTGCTGTCTCTGGCCGGATACGACATTCGAACGCGTACAGTGTCGAGGTGAAGGATATCTCCCTCACGGATTACATCCAGATTCGCCATGCCGTCTACCTTCCGCACACTGCAGGCCGTTACGCCAAGAAGCAGTTCAAGAAGGCGCAGATGCCCATCGTCGAGCGCCTTGTTGACAGGTGCGCCTGCCCCTCCTTTCCGTTCCGTGCACGCACCGACAATGGACTCGCACGTGCAGTCTGATGATGAAGGGCCGCAACACCGGCAAGAAGCTTCTCGCCGTCCGAATCGTCGCGCACGCGTTCGAGATCATCCATCTCCTCACGGACCAAAACCCCATCCAGATCCTCGTCGACGCTATCGTCAACACTGGTCCGCGCGAGGACTCGACGCGTATTGGCTCGCAGGGTACCGTTCGTCGTCAGGCCGTCGACGTCTCCCCCCTACGCCGAGTTAATCAGGCCGTCTCCCTCCTGACGATCGGCGTGAGTATTGATCCACTTTCGGGAGAGGTTGTTAGGGGGCGCGTGCTGATGATTGTGCCTTTGGGCGCGGTGATAGACACGCGAGTCCGCATTCCGCAACGTCAAGTCCGTCGCGGAATGCCTTGCAGATGAGCTCATCAATGCGGCAAAGGGCTCATCAAACTCGTATGCCATCAAGGTACGTTCCTCTACCTATCCTCTTCCTGTTCGTATGTCCTTACGATCTGCCTGCAGAAAAAGGACGAGCTCGAGCGTGTGGCCAAATCCAACCGGTAAACGGTCTGTTTGGTGTCTGTTGTGGAGGGGAGGCGCGTACAGGTATTCTGCATCTTTCTTATTTCTGCACTTGTTGTCGCTACTATCACTTTGCTGCCGTACCACCTCACATCACCCGCGTGGACGCTTTTGACAAGTGTGACTCAGAATGCGACATCCACCATCACCACTACAAACAGACTACGGTGAGCAATCACGGGACAATTTACAGTGAGTGGGCGCAGCAGATGATCGACAATCGGTGGCCGTTTTCTGTTCACTGCGAGTACGGGAGACGTTAATTGAAGACTGTTGATGCTGTGTTCGGAAGACTATGTGCACTGACACAAGTGCAGTTAAGACAAATGATCCCCCTGATTTTGTAGAGTATCTGATGCGCTCAGCCGTAACCATTCAATACACGTGTTAGCATTGGCGCACATGAGAGGCGGCATAGCCGCTACCCGGTCGATGTCTTGCTTCGATGTGAGCTGTGCGTTTCCATATTTCTAGTTTATCGAGTCTATCGATACCGATGGGCTTTGCCATTTTACGGACGACAGTGTGAATAATTGGACGTGTGGAAGCATGCGAGCGGCTAAGTGACAGAGGCCCAGAAGGTCGTAGAGATGACTCTCCAGAAGAAGTAAGGAAAGCAGGTGGAGCGCATTTATGGTTACTGTACATGGACGGACGCTGACGATCGAACGCAATAGTGCAAACTAGAATTGAAGGAGCACAAGAAACAAACAGGCATTGCCCGGCCTAGAGTTATCGGATCAGTACATACATTTTTAGTGGCCAAACAGGCCCTTATGCCATTTTCAGGTATCTGTAGCTACAGCAAGGGCTTTGAGCAAAACAGCTGGCTTCTATACATTAGTAATGGGTACCAATTTTTGGAAACTCGTTATGACTCGTCTTTTATAGATCGTAGTTCCTCCATCGGAACTTGTGCGACTAGAATGGAGGGGTATCACTTCATTCAGATTGTCGTTCACATGTCAATACCGCGATGGACTCATGTCAACGTCGAAACCCTAAATGGAGTAGGACACATACCAATTACCAAATAAGCTTAGAATTCTGAACTTGTTAGACAGTCGACGATCTGTCCGCCTTTTAATAGCATGTAGTGACTCTAGTATTAGTAGCATGATTTCAGGACCTCGTATAGAACACGACACCGAGTGCATTCCATTAGGAATGACACTGATAATGAACTTTCGGCTTCGTCGAAAAACCTGTTTCAGGCTGTGCTCTCTCCGCTGCAAACACGATATGACTTGTGAGCTGTGCAAATAGTGCCGCCGCATCAGAATTGTTATCTTCCTGCTTGACTAGCCGGAAACGCGTTCCAATCTGAGTGGACAGTGAGTCGGTACCACATAAGCCATCAGTATGTGGCTCGTCTCAGCTGTTTATGGCTACAATTACCTGCCTGATTTCGCCACGGAAGATTATTCTGCGCCTTTCTGGGCTTGGATGCGCCAATCATGATGCTTTCGGAATTTATCAATGCTGCTCGAGAAGAAAGGAGTCACTTATGAAGCTGTCACGGTTTTGAAAAGAGCAAGCTCACAGTGCTTCAACCGCCTCGAAGAAATAGGCGATGACTTCGACGTGACGGCGGAAGCAGAGAGACGTACTGCGCAGAAGCAGGTGTCCGCGCATATACAAGCTTCCGCTGCTATTCGCCTCCATAATCAGGTGCCTCAGCATGAGGAAGCAATAGCTATAAAGGCAAAACTTCCATCGTCGTGATAAAGAGAAATAGACGCTTGAGTTCGGGCGGGCTAATGCGCATGGGGAGCTCGCCGGTCAGCGGTGGAGGGGAGTAAACTGGCAGATGCTAACCGATTATCAGGTCCTTCAGCCCATGGCTGCCTACGGGTCGCTGGGGCGGAGGGCACGTGGGAGCACACAGGGTAGGATACCATATTTGACAAGAGCACCGAGCGCGAAGGAGACTGTCTCAGAATCTTGAGACGGTACGGCAGGTATATTGTACACCGCAAGAATGACGGCATTCAGAATTTCGGCCAACGTGGGCACCACAAAGGGAGGTGTGGAGCCTACCCAGTGACGGCCCGGATCTGGTGATTAATAATGCATTCAACCTGTTCACAGACGCGGTCAGATATCGATGAGAATGAACATAGAAATGAACCTTCTTGGAGTAGAGGAGTAAGAGATCGCAATGCATGCTCCCGATCGGCGCCCGTGGATGAAACGTCGCCGAGACGGACATGGTGATCTGGTCATGCGAGGGAGAGTGCTCCGTCGGTGAGCCTAGCCCGGAGGAACATCCAGCTACGCACATGGTCCTGACTCTACTTGGAATGCCGACCAGGGTCCTTATCTGTGTTTACAGTTCACTGAATGCAGCCATATTTGGCGCATGTCCGTCCACGAGGATATGCTGTGCAGTGGAATTAGTCCATGTCAGAGTGTCTCCCGTGAGAATTGGCTGGTGGAGGATATGGTGGATAGCAAACAGAGGCTGCATTGATAGATCTCAGTTCTCCGAGATAACGTCCGCCGTCCTCGAGCTGAAACGCTTCAACATGCAAAGGCTTTCAGTCCGCCCAGCTGGGGGGGGGAAGGAGAGAGCCGGGAGGCCGGCTCGCCGTGCGGCACATCAGTGAGACCACTGACGAGGGTGGAAACGTGGTGGCACTTGCCCGATTTATCATCCGTACAAGGTTTGTGTGCCTCATCCATCGTTCTGACGCCTTCGTCGAATGAATTTCGCGGCGGAAAAAATAAAGTTGCACACCGATAAGAATTTGATTACCTGTGTCTCTGATACACGCGGCGTGGTTCAGCCACTGGCGCTGAGGCGGCGGGATGAAGATGTCCTGTTCATGAGGTCCTTCTAAATATAGCCCTAAATTTGCGCGTTCGTGCTGAACTCCATTTTCTGAATGGGCGCTGAATTTCATTCTAGCCAGGGGGCGTACGGCGTGGCGTATTGCAGACAATGTCACATTGCCCTCAAAGAAAAAGGATCAGTGTTGCGACAAAAGATAGCGGTGCATCATATATAGAAAGCCTATTATTGACGGATAATTCCTGTCACAAGTGAATGTCATGTTATTCAATCACGTACACATGCATGTTCGGCATCGATGCTTTAGACATCAATCCTGCCAACGGCGCGGGAAGCTTCAATGGTCTGGCCTGCTGGCCCCGGACAGACTTGCGCAAGCTCCGGACGAAAGATAGACACCTTTACGCGAGTCTGCGAACTTCTCCAGACGTATCACAAATGTCTCCTCGGCGTTTACGCAGTGCCGGAACTCATCTATCAGAAGTCACGTTTAAGTTCACAACATACTAGGGTTAGATACCCTGTCAGATGGAAGAGGAATCGCATGACGACTCACTGAAGTTCCATACGTTCCACGCGTCAAGCATAACCATTACAGATCCATGCTTACGCCCATATTTTTGGTATACATAAGCGACATTGTGAGCCGTCAGCGCCGTTGAAAGGGGGGTGAACAACGCCAATCAAAAGTTTTCGCCGCTAACGGTCACGATACCATACAACAGGCCACACAAAGCTACCGCCCCTTTGTCACATCCCGAGAAATTATCGGCCGTTAATCGCGAGCGTGTACCGAATAGCAAGGTTACGGAGCTTGTAAGGGTTTCATCCGAGTCGTTCCTGCGAGCGCTCAAAGGGCCACGCGCCTATATTCTAAACCTTCAGCAGCGTCTCATTCACAGCAGACCAGAGTACATGGCCTCAGGTATGCGCTGCGCATCGCCTCTACGTTCGGGGAGAATCATGGATCGAGACTTACGGTCGATATTATGGTTTTTGGCCCGACCATTAGTTTATCAATCTGATTCAAGGCAGACTTCAAGTTTACGTGAGTGGTAACCGCGCCCGGGTGAACTCTAATGGGCGCCTTCATGCCAGTTTGCAGTGGCCAAGCGCCCTGTCACTAATGGGGGCATTAATTGCTTGAACTTTTACCGATATACATTAACCCTAAGTTTTGCGACTTGAGCGCATACGATAAGCGGCGATAACAGCGGAACCTTGAACATTCTGCAGGGTCGCTTGGGCTGCCGCCATGGATAATGTGACCTTGTAGGTATAATTAACCCGATGCGATGAGTGATCAGAATGGACAGACGAGTCGGTTACGGCCCGAATGTTTTCATGACGACTGTCCTCGCTAAGCCACCTGACAGATCCGTATGAACGTACGGAGACAGACCGATGCCAAATTCGCGCATATTGGCCCACAAGCGCAGCGGATGCAGTCCACCGGTGTGCAAAGAATTGGATTCTATAAGCGTGCGCGAAGGGCTTCCCCGCCGAAACTCGGATAATAACACATAACCAAAAGCGTGCCCCAATTTATTCTAACGTAGCATAACAGCGGGACGGGGCCGGGAGCAGTACCTGCTTCCCATGAACGCCTAGGGAACGGGTTCCTGATGACATATATATGGAGTCTGCATCAGGCTGCAACGGTCCCCAGGTTCGTCGCCGCGTCCTAGATTGATTACCGGTACTCTGCCCCACAGTCCCCGACTGACGTGATCAGTCTCCGTCCGTTCGAATGCTCCAGCACCGCCTCGATGTCCGCCTCGTCTCGCTTACTGAGCCTGAACATGAACACCTTCCGGTTGTCCTCCGTATGCTCCGACACGCCCAGCCGCGCACCTGTGCACGAGTGTGAACGGAGGTGTCTGCTCGGTCGTAGGCAGATGAAAAGAATTACCGATGATGACGGCTCCCACACACGCGTGGTCGAGCACCCAGCGCGTCGCGACGTTTGCGATGCTCACGCCGTCGTGGCGGTCGCCAATCTTGCGCAGGACAGAAAGCAGAGACTGGAAGAGCGCCCAGTCGCCCCACGCCTTGACAATCATGTCGAGGTACTGAGAAGTTTTTTTTTTAAAACAATTTTCAGAGACAGCCTGCGATCAGTGTCTGTCATCGGACCCACCTTGCGCTGAGACGGTGTCAGCCTGCCAGAATACAGATCCGGCTCGGGCTCGCCCAACCACTGGTCCGCGAGGAACCCGCCGCACTGTCCGATTTCAAAAGAAGCAGAGACTCAGCGACTGCAACCGCGTCTCGTGCACGCGCGCGGCGACCTACCAGTGTCCCGTATGTGAGAAGCTTTACCCCGTGTCGCTCACAGACGTCAGCCATCCCGTCCAACGGCCGCGTATCCACCAACGAGAACTGTCGCGTTTCATTACAAAGACAAGGAAAATAAATCAGCGGCCCGCAGCGGACGGCACGGCCGCCTTACCTGGACTTGGTTGGAGACGATCGAGCCGGGCACGAGCTCGGTGCAAATCTCGTCCGTCCTGATCGCGTCGAAATTGCACAGTCCCAGCGTCGCGATCTTGCCCTCGTGCTGCAAGTCCTGCAGGTGCCGCAGTGCGGTGATGTATCCCTTGTCGCTGTAGTCCTGCCAGTGGAACTGTACAGATCCGCTCAGAGACCGGCCGCTGGGAAGCGTGTCGGGACCGTCGTACGTACCTGGAGCAGGTCGACCCGGTCGGTTTGCATGCGGTCCAACCGTTCTTGGACGGCCGCCTCGACGACCGCGCGGGTGGGATTGATGTTGCGGAACACGCACCATTTCGTCCCGCCCAGGATCCTCTCCGGGGCAGGGTAGGTCTTCTTGAATTGCCCCTGTGACAGCACAGGGCGAGATTTGAATTACCGATTCAAGGTGGTTGTGAATGGCCGTCCTCACAAATATGATTTCAGAGCTCCCGTAATGGTCCGCTGTCATCGACCGTGAGATCAACGCGGACAGCACATGCATGCTCCGTACCCTGTAGCAGGAAACGCGGAGCATCGCGACATCAATTATGCGTCAAAAATTCGAATAGCACTGTGACTCGCCATATCTGACAGAAACATCTCATGAACAAAGGCACTGCGCATCACAGCAAAATTGCTCACCGAACGCAGTGTACCCGAGCTCGGCGAAATGTGCCATCTGGCGGCGCACTTTGGGCGCAGAAGCACTCCCCCACGCGTTGCTCGACAGCTGCCAGAGACCGGTAAAGAGACGCGGAACCTGAAACGGGCCGAGACAAAAAGTCTCTAGGGGAGCCGTCGTAGGCTGAGCGTTGGCAGACATATGTGCGGGACAAGGCGTCGTGGCGTGCAAAGGACAGACAGTTGTGCACCGGAGGCTCTTTAAAGGTCTCCCACTTGGCGACATCAGCATAAGCAGTAATCAGGACCACCGTACATTTGTTATCACAGTCACAACGTGACTGTTTGAATGAATGGAAAATATTAGAGTTGCTAGTGTTAGAGTTCATACTACTTGTCCCGCTGAATCATTCCTGCCCGAACGATGCTTACAGTATACAATATTTCCAAGGACATTTGAAACGGTCTCCAAGAATCCCAATGGGATTCTGACTATGATTGTGACTGCGACCACAATGCGCGGCAATCGATCCGACTGCTTGTCAGCCGGCAGAACACGGATGACCCGGTAACTACAATGAACGCCGATAAATGCATTCTCGGATTCGCGATTGATCGCCTCCATCCAAACCTGGCCTTCCATTGCGCTCCTGGCAGGCACAGCGCACTCACGATTCCGAAAGAACCTCGCATCCTCCTCTCAGCCACAACCGTATATCCACGCCAGAGCGAACAAGCTATATCAAATGACTCCCGGTCGGTCAGAACATCGACAATCGACAGGGCGCATGAAACGTTCTCCAGCTCCGACGTCTGATAAATACACGGCAGGCCCACGAATCGGACAAGGGCGATGGAGATTCTCTAGGTGACCGGCCTCCAGAACGGGGGGTTCGTGGGTACGGCAGTCTCCCACAGACTATTTCCGAGTGTGCCGCATGCCCATCCCCCAAGCGAGACGACGCCATGATCGTCATCGCTTTACATGGAGCCGGTTAGAAGTACACAGCTACGCAATTCGCTGCAACGTTCTCTCCGGCCGCCCGTGTGGCGTCAGCGAAAACAAATGATCACGTCTCGCCTGCCCACCAACGATCTAGGATTACGATCGTGATCCGGTGCTAATCCGACCAACGCTACGCGCGAACACTCCAGAGATCAGCTCGTTCTGCTCGGCCCTCATGCTCTTCAACTTGATACCGTTTGCAAATGCGCAAAGAAGACTGGTCGCATTCTAGTGGAGCGCAGGCGCGATCTAGACGAGGATAGCACGCAGCTGCACAGAACACACATGACCAGACCAGCCCAATTTACCTAAATGAGGCATTCTCTTGTCCACGGTTCGGCAGACCCACGCAAGCGAAGACGCACCCGGCATTCAAAGTATCTGCTGTGCGAATGCCAAAGTCACCGTCATCCACGAGCTCGCCCAGCCCCAGCCCCGAGCCCGAGCCTGCGCACCCCCTGCGCGAATCGCGCGCACAACCGAACCCGCATCGAACGCGGGTCTGCGCATGCCCGAGTGAGCCGAGCCGAGTCTGCTGGCGTTCAGCATGGTCGCCGGCAGCGATGCGCTGCTGTTGTTCTGTCGGAGGGTCGCCATCCCGCCCTAACCGCGATTCGGAAGAGAACTGCTGTTCGGCGGAGTTTGAAGGGATCGACGATGCTCAGTCAAGCGCTGGGAGTGAAGCACTGCCCCCCGATGGGGGCGTACGAGCGGCGGCGGCGGTGTCGATCAATGCACTGAAGGAGCCATGTCGAGATGGATCGGTGTGATTTGCGGAGAAGGCGGTTCGCTGGTCCCATCGCCTGGATCGGAATCTGAACATCTCCAGCGATGCTGATTGGTCGAGATCACCGCTCCCCCAGCCGAGCCTCCGTCCCCGTCGTACCTTGGATCCGGATTAGATTGCTGACAGATGTCCCAAGATACGCAAACCCTCGCAGGCGCTGCCTCTTTCGACGCTCCGGATCACGTTAATGCCCGGTCCTGCATAAAATCCCTCCGGGCTCGATAGATAGCACGAAAGCTTGCCAGCTGCACCTCCACTTACCTGCTCACTGATGCCCGCTCCCGAAACATCCCATGAGACGCGTCCGGTCCTTGGACATGTGTGCGTGAATCTGAGCCTGCCGCAGCCGCTGCATGACTGACCGAACCGCCTGCACAGCAACCTCATGGTTGACAGTTTCATCGCAAACGCCGAGCTCGACGAGTACGCTTCCCCCTACCTCCTGAAGCCCCCGTACTGACCGTGCCGCGCCGCACAGCATGCGAGCCGTCATCCGGACACTGCTCGCCACCAGTCCCCCCAGCGTCACTGCAACATTCACAAATGCCGCCCGCCGCCGCCTAGAAAAGATGAACGCAAAATCCCTCTCCCCCTCCACCCGATTATTCGTCAAATCGCTCGACGGGCTCACCCGCCCGACGCCGGAGCTATACAGCACGCTCGGGCGCGCGCGCGCCCTGTACGGCGCGGGCATGGGCTTCGCGAGTCTGTCACTCCTGACGGAGGTGGTGCACGCCACGGTGGGCGCCGTGTGGGACGAGGCGGGCGAGATGGCGGATGTGCTGGCCGCGATCGACGCGGACGTCACGCAGGCGATCCAGAGCGCGAAGGAGGAGATGGCCAGTGGGCGGGTGACCGACCCGGGGGCTGCGCGCGCGGTCGTGGGTGCGCTGCAGGATGCGCTCCAGCGCAGCGAACGGGACACTGAGATCTGGGGTGGCGACTTTGCGTTCGAACGCGGCGCCGTGAGTGTTCAATATTGGAAGTTCTGAGCCGGGACACTGTAGGGAATTTTTTTATATTTTAAAAAAGGAACATACCTCCGTACATCAATCAGTTGTATATCTACCGAACATGCTTACGATGTAAATGACATATACCCCGCTTCTTGGACGCCGGCGAATCCTGGACACACGGGCCGGTGCGTTGGTTGAATGTGTTCGTGCTTCGATGTGTGCGAACTGCGAAGGTTCCGAGGCACGCGGCCGGAAGTCTTGCGGGTGCACTGATAGAGAGAGGCTGACGCATACAACGGAAGGCCATGTCTATCCGCGACGGATATCATTGGCGAACATCGGCGAAGGTCTGTATCCGTCGCTATGAACGTCGCATCTGGAATGGTTAGCGTGAGTGGACGGGTGCAAAAGGGCATTCAATGCGGAAATTACGTGCGGATACTTAAAGAGGGGCGGAGGGGGTCGTTTGGTCGGCCGAGCCTCGGATGCGTCAGGAGTGACGCAAGCGTGACGAAATTCCAAGCATCCCAAGTCGGCGCGGCGGAGATATGTGACGCCCCAACGTCACACTTGAGGAGTCTGGCCATGCGCTGTGGCTGGAGGTCACGAGACCGAAACTGATCGTGATGCCGACGACCCGCAGCACCGGCCTCATCACGACGGCAGACGACTCTACTCAACGCCATCGCCATCGCCGGCCACCGCGATGCGCGCACCAGCAGGGACGACGTCCACGAGCACGCGCGCGCCGTCGGCCGACAAGGGTGAGCCAGGATGCTGAGCACAGCGTCTGGGCGCTGGGGCGTGTGGGAAACGGTGACGACGGCGTCGGAGCGCTGCGCATACGCCCGGGGGCGGGCAGGCAGCACCGCAATCCCAAGCTTGGTCCCGTCACACCCGCTCTGGGTCCCCCCACTTCCGCTTGTCTCTTTATAACCATCACCCCGCAGCTGCGCTGTCCTCCTCCTCTTCTCTTTTTCCACTACGCTTTGCGCTTTTTTTCACATCCTCCACCGCTTGCCGTTTTCTGCTCGCCTTTGTTTTAAAAACGTTCTTCGCAATGCTGTCGACGACCAAGTTGTCCGTGGTTGCTACGCTGCTCGCTGCGGCTGTGCACTCGAGTTGGGCCTGGCCGTGAGTCGCCTGCGCCTCCTATTGCGTTCTGCCGGCCAGAAGCTCATCATCTGCTCTCTTTCAAGCATTTCCTCCACCTGCCAGTCCACCATTGCGTCGCTGGCGACCTCGTCAAAGGCCACCTGCCTTGATACGAGCGCCCTCATCAGCTTTTACCTCGCCAGCTCGAGCGCCCCAGTCGACAGCTATGTCGACTACTGGCTCAAGGGCATGTGCGCCCAGAGCCCCTGCACCAACAAGACGATTGCCTACTTGGTCACGACCGCCGTTGATGGCTGCGCGGCGGACCTCACGAATTACGGCCTCCCGAACAACACCGACGAGCTCACGAGCCTCGCCCAGCAGTACTACCCGACCGTCCGCGAGATTGCCTGCTTGTTGGAGTGAGTCTTCCCGACGAAAAAGGTCTATGGCGAGCGGCTGACTGATCAATTTGCCCCCGTAGCACTTGCAACAACACTCGCTGCGTGACCGAGACGCTCGATAACCTCCAGACGGTAACCGGGACGATCACCAAGGCGAACGCGATCGATATCGGCGTGTCTATCGCCAACGGCACCATCAAACTGCCGAGCAACGTCACCTGCACCAACTGCACCAAGGAGGCGTACAACCTCGTGGAGGAGAACCACCCCAACTTGATCACCTCGGGCATCAACAACACCATCGTCAACCAGTGCGGCTCCAGTTTCGTCGGTGAGTACTCGTGTTTCGGATGGGTTTTGATGCGGATGCTGATTGTTTGATAAAAGACGGCGTCGAGCCGACGACCATCAACCAGACCGCTGACGCTGCCGTGTCAAGCGCGAGTACCGACGCCAGCGGTGCGCTCGGGCTGTCCATGAACACGGCGCTTGGAATCGCGGTGTCGTCCTTCGTGGTGCTCTCGTCGACCGTTGCTCTCCTCGCTTGAACGCATTGCTCCCATTTAAACGTCCGGACATTATACATCTATACTGTTTGTTTATTAGCACCACTGTAAAACGCACTGGACACTTGTAGCACAGTCGCCCTAATTGTAATTGCATGGACACGCTGCGACTTGCGACGTGGTTGAGATTGCCGGGGCAGGGGAGACTAGAGACATCCTGGTCTCCGAGCGCAATCGTGGTAGTCAGGCCCGATCAGTTCGTGCTGCGCAAGCCATTCCTCGTGCGCCCGAACGTGGGCGGAACAGAGAGCGGTCACATCGAATTTCACAGACATGCGTGTCTGAGGTTCGTATCATATCACACCTGTCACAGACGGCATTATAGTATTCTCCACGATGTTTGAAACGATCTGTCCATCTCGCGAACGCGCTTGCTTCAAATTACATAGGACTGACAGCCCATCTCCGCTCCGCTAATACGTAGCACACGTGTACGTGCCGCCATCTGGTGGCGGTGTCTGAGAAGATGGCATCGGTCGTGCGGCTGGCTAGCAATTCGTCCGAGGGTGAAAGGGAAACTTCAAGTATCCCGACGAGTCGTAGATACCGTACCCAGGCTCCATGTTATCCGAATAGATGTGCGCGAACCACCCGATCCCGCCGCCCCCGACCGCCTTGAGGTACTCGCACTTGGAATCGAGCAGCTCGAAATAGGCCTGCGGACGCGTTTCAGAGATTTTGTTCGGGTGAAATGGAGGGGAAGCAAGGGAAGGGACAAGAAGAGAAGGTGGCGCGGCGTTTGTCTGCGCGCGCGCGTGCGACCGAGCTGGACGCGCGACACGCGAGCGAGGGCGAAGAACTCACCTGCTCGTTTGGGATGTTCGATACCGCGTATGGGCTGTTCGGCTGTACGTCGGGCGACGTGACCGAGGGCCACCCGTTCTACATACCGCGATCGTCAGCGCCGTCCAAGCCACCCGCGCTACGATACGCGCGCTCACCTCGTCAAAGTACATCTTCTTCCCGTTTCCATGCTCGACGAAAAAGGCGAGGTTTTCCAGGACGATGGGCCACGACTGATTGGCTACGCAGACACGACTCAGCTCAGCGCCCAGACCACCTTCGAGTCTCGCACGAAGGAACGGCGCTAGCTCACCTGTGGTCGCGTTCTGATCGAAGAAGGGCAACATGTGGATGTTGATCGAGTCGATCGCGTCCAGCACGTCCTGCGCGCCCCCGCGCTCCTCGTACCCATATGCGAGCTCGCTCACGGTCACCGGGATGTTCAGATCAGAGAGGTTCGCCTTGGCCAGCTCGACCTGCGCAGCGAGCTCCGCGTGCGGGAGGACGTCGTCGAACAGCGGCTCCGAGCCAAACTGCACCACCCGCGTCACGAACTTGGCTTTCGGGTTCGCGTGCAGCGCGCCGAAGAGCGCGTCCCGCCGCGTCATCCAGATGTCGCCGCCTGTGAAGCCGAACTGCGAGGTCGTTCAGTCGGTGCCGTCTGCGCGCATGCGATGAGCGCAGGCTTACCCAGATGAGCGCATGCACCCCGAGCCCGTTGTCCCACGCGGCCTCGACGATGTCATCGCTGCCATCATCTCAGACTCAGAATCATTCGGGCTATGGAAAAAAAGCCGGTGCACTCACTAGAACCCCTCGCGATCACAAGCCCCGTACAGCCGCACATAGCGTGAATGGAAGTGGTACCGGATGTCGGCGAATTCTCGGTGCAGCTCCTCCGAGCTCTGACCTATCAATTCAGTATGCACACGTAATCAGCACCGACAGCTATCGAATCGCGCGCGCGCGCGTACGTACAATCCGTGACTTCGTAACTGAAGCCGACAAACGCGTACTCGGTGCTCGGGTCACACCACCACAGCGTGTTGTCCTCTGGCAGGATGGGCGGCATCACAAAGCCGAGAGCGGGGAAGCAGAACGGGGCCGGCAGCGCAGGCGCAGGCGCGCGAGGTTCAGGTTCCCGAGGGCGAGCATAGATCAGGTGAGCGAGGAAGAAACAGCATTGGAATAAAGCCAGCAGCAGCATTTCGACTCTGTCGACGATGCTCCCGGAGCCGCCTGCAGCTATAACATGAACGATATGGCTAGAATCAATCTAGAAGACGAAGGAAGACGTGGCCAAGCAGTTTTTGCTGGGAAAATTCAAGGCGCAACAGGCATCGCACTTCCCAGAAGGACGGAAGCACCTGGTCTTTCGCATGTACACCGGAGGAGGCTGACAAGCTCAGAGACTCCGCGATCATGCATAAATGGCAGCCAGACGGAATCGAAATGCGCAATCGAGCCTATCGGAGCCCACCATCCACTGCATGCAAGACCACATGCATCTGCAACACATTGGAGGCCGGCGTTTAGAAGGAAAAGAACGACAGTGGCCACCTTACCGGCCTAGTATCCCCGAAGATAAGAGATAGCTGCTCGACGGTCGAACAGACCTCGAAATCACAGGTTCCACACTCGTGGTCACAGGAACACAGAATACTTCCGAGCTGCACTTCTCTCAGGTGAGAGGTCACTCGCGGCATTTGGGCCCGTGCCTTGGAGAGCACCTGCATGAAGAAAAACAAGACGCGCACCGTCGCCAAAGCATGATGTGAGCTGCACCCCCGAAGGAAAGTCTCATGCCAAGCCAGTCAAATAGAATTAGATGAAGCAATACATAGCGGGCACATCAGCTCAGGTCCGAGGAAGTCACGCCCAGCGGAAGCATCGTAGGGTCCCGGATGAGAGTCCTATCCCAAGTGGTTCTTCTCAACTGTTACCACGTCAGTAGACGAGTCATGAGCGTGAGGAAAAACACAAACATGTTCGTCAGCCTCCTTGGCGGGTATAATATTCATATGATCAGGTACATCTCCGCGATTCTTGCAAAGCATTCAGAACTCGTCCAGAAGAGACTTTCATTCGCAGACTTACCAGGTCCACTTCGTCAAGGTCGCGGAAGCTCAAGCGGAGGTCTGCGGGTATCTTTGACGGGAGGATCAAGACGTGCACGGTAGGTGTGAAAGGCCTCGACAGTGCCGTCATGTCCGACATTTTCTGCAAACGCCCGTCAGGCGCCCATTCATCCTTGAGATAGCAATCGTGACGTACTGCAGCAACGGTCAACGCCAGCTTGATATCCTTCCGCTTTCCGCGAGCCTCACTTCCAACAAGGACAAAGAACTCCCATATGCAGTCGATGACATGGACGAGCTCGTGCACCGCGGAATGATCCGCAAGATGGGCCACAGGAGATAACTCAAACAAGTGTCAGCCCCCATATACTCATCGAACGTGACAACCTTACCGTTTCGGTACCCTTCAGCACGTCCACCGACCACACACGAGGATCGATCTCTCGTGCCGATGATCTCCACTTCCAATAGTCAGCCTTTGCATATTCGCCGTCGCCGAGGATCATCCAGAACATCTCGTCGTTGTCTGTCTCCGCCTCGATGAGTTCGATCACACTCGAGGCTGACCCCGCCAAGGATTTTGCGTATTCTCGGGCGGCGTGACGCTCCTTCTCCAGCGAACCACAGCCGTGCCAGACGTAGAACGTCTCCAATAGCGATAAGCAATAACTGAATCCGGAACAGAGATTCTTGATATCCTGAGATGGCGATTTCCTGTCAGTTTCCCGAAGCAAGAAACTTACAGAAATCTGACTGACCAATTCGAGCTCATCAATGAATGTGACATCGTTTACGTTGCGGATCAGATGCATCGTGGTGTTCTCAGAGGACCAATGCGCCCGTGTACCCTGCTAATAATGAGCACAAAGGATCTATTCTGTATTAGCACAAGCACCGACCTGCCGCGTCACAAGCTGACCACCCAGGATAATCACGAATTCGATCGGTTCGCAATACTGCTGCACCGTTACCTGAAATCAAGTACAAACACATCAGCGGCGCATTTTTACAACTGGCACCTCGAACAGACTCACCAAGCTGGTTCCGTATCTCCTAGCCAATTCTTGCAACTTACGCTCCTCCCGCTCTCCGACCCTCGCGCGCTTACCGTGCCATGCCCACACAGTCGTCGACACAAGGCCCGTTGACTTCACTTTCGCGCGATGTATCACCGCAAGCACCTCCGTCTCATAGAAGACGTGCGCATCGCGCATAATCGTAGACGCCGTGTTCCCTATAATGGACATCACGTCGATCGAGATCGTCTGCACGTCCGCGTTCCAGTGGGAAGCAGAACGCGGAGCTTCCAACAGCGCGGCGATGTCCACTTCGGGCAACGGCTCCTCGACGTGTTCTACAGCCTGATGTCAGCATTGGCGTTATGCACAAGGACCGAAACTCATGAACCTGTACGGACAACTCTGTTGAACTTCGTAGGTACCAGGTGCGCAGACTCTCCTTGAACTAATTCTGCAACGTGCCTCTGCTCATCCTCGACTTCTGCCGTGAGATGCTCTTCCGCCGAAGGAGATACAGCACTCCGCGATAGCGTGCCCACAGGCGTTGGCACTGGCGTGTTCTCTTCTTGGAGGGGAGGTAAAACAAAGGCGGAATAGCGCTCATAGCTCGACTTGCGTTTGTCGCTGTCAGCGTCCGATCTAACGCTCCCATGCGAATGACTCCACTTTGCGACGGCAGAGTCGACATCTGAACGAGGATTTTCTTCATCGGGCGTTGCAGCGTGCTCCGAGCCCGGTCTTTGCGTGGGTGCTGGTGCTGGCTCTGGATTCGTTACGACACGCTCCTGGAATGCTTGTGCAACGTCCATGACGGTCGCTCTGTTCCCGGTACTCGGGATACGACTATGGCGCACGGGGGAAAGTGGCGGTCTTTCCTTCGAAGGAGGCGAAGACGGAGAAGGAGCTTTGAAGTCACCATTCGTATCAATCTTGCTGAGAGCGCGTGGGGTAATTGTAGGCCCATCTGTAAGCCTTGGAGGCTTCTCTGGAGCGATATCATGCACATCGGGGACGAAATCGTCTTCAAACTTGTCTTTGATCGAAGATGGTGATTCAACTTCTCGAACTGGAGAAGGCCTGTCGGATAGATCGGCCTCATTTGCAGTCGGGAACGCGACGAGGAGTTCCGGCACACGAGCAGTCGAAACAAGCCCAGGCAGCGCCGCCGCCTCTGCGTGCTGCACATAAAGCGAGCCTTCATCTTCAGCAGCAGCAGGACGCACCGCAACACTCGCACCCACACCCGCGCCCGCACCCACACCCGCGCGATGCGCCTTGCGCGGCTTCTTAGCGCGATCTTTCGTAAGCTGACAAAAGCGAGACACGCATATCAGCACCGGCTCACATTCGGGCACAAGAAAAAGCGCCAATCGAGAAGAGTAATAATAAGTACAGTCTCATTGCCAGAGGGCACCTACATGGCTGAGCGGTTTCCCTCCTCTTCCCCCTTCCTCCCTGCTCCTCGACCGCGTCCGGATGCCCAGTTCGTCCGCCCCAGATGAATCTCCGCGCCCACGCGGAGACGCGGAACGCACAAGTTGCTTGTCGCCCGTCTTGATCGGCTTGATGTATGAGATCATGGTGGACGCCGAGCCGAGTCCTGCAGAGCGCCAGGGCTCCTTGGTGTCATCGAGGGAAGGAGAGGAGGAAGGCTTCGGCGAACGGCCGGTTTTGTCTGGCTTGACCGGCTTCGGTGGCGGATGCTCAGTGGCGGAACCGTGAGCATCGAGTGTACGTGCCCTACGCAAGCCTGCAGGCTTCGGCGAGGCGATGGGAGGGGATGAAGAAATAGGAGCACTTGCGGCAGCAGTGCTCTGCCATCGATCCAAAACCGGCGGCTGCTTCTTCACGACTGGATCTTTCTTTTCGGGCAGAGGTGGCGTTGTGGAGGAGCCCGATGAAAGGTGACTACTTGCCTGCACCATGCTCCGCACGAACCCACGGCCTTGCAGCCGGCTGATGCTCGGCGTAGGGTCTTTCGGAGGCGGAGTTCGCTGGAAGGACGTGCTCTGCGAGAGAGCGACCTGTGGACCGAGTGATACGCGAGGAGTCGGTTGGATGGACCGTGCAAGGCATGGGGTCGTAATCGTCGATTTGACAGGGTTCGAAGAGGTCAGTTGTACAGAGAGAGGAGTTTGTAGCGTCGCTGAAGAAGGCGACTTTGATAATGGAGGAGGTGTAACGGCCCCTCTGGCAGGAATATCTCGGCCCTGACGAGTGGGCGAATGAGACTTTGCAGAGAATGACTTGGTACGGGATGGGACGCCATTGCTTGAGTTTGAAGTATCACTCTGGTCACGACCTGAAGCATGGACTGGCACACCGCCTGTGGGCGTACTGGTAGTACGCTGCCGCCATGGCTGAGGAGTCCCCGTCTGCTGGGATGCAAGCGATTCCTGCTCAACTTTATGGACAAACGCCTTGACAGCCGACGGCGTGCTCATCCTCCCATCTCGTCCGTTGACCTGAGCCGCAACGTTGATAGGTTTATCCGCCTGTTCGTCCTTTCCAAAGGATGATGTATACCCTCCGCGCACCATACCGGGCATCGCGACGCCACCTTTGCCAAAGACGGGATGGGGGGCAGTGATGTGGGTGCGCTGGTCGAACTGAGTGGGATCGCGGACGTCTTGCTGGGGGGCGGGCTTGGTCAACTTTGGGCCCGTGGCCTTCCCACCGATGAACGCAGCTAGCGACATGGGAGAGGCAGGTGTACCTGTCCTTGGCTGCGACCGCGTCGTGGGCGAGCGAGACTCCCCTGTCAGCTTGTGCAGGGCATCCTCATGGTGCTGTTTATCGCTCAGTGATATTCGGACGTCAGACGAGCTGAACGCTCCCGACTTGATCGCATTGCCATATTCACTGTTGGCTTCATGCAACCCTCGTCTCATCACCTGATCCGTATACACGCGTGCACGATGATACTCACACAACTCGACGCTACTTGCGCTGCTATGGCCAGCACTCCGCCGGAGGCGAGCGAGCCTGGAGGCCTGTATCTCCTCCTCGAGCCGCCTGTGCTCTGCCTCCTCATCCTCGTCGACCTGGCGCTGCAGTGCCTTGATCCTGCTTGTCCATTCTGCAAGTCCTTCTTCCGGCTTGGAGGGTATATCGAGTGGGCGTCGGCGAGCACTCTCAGTAGCAACAGAATCCATAGCGAGACAGCGAGGAAAGCGAGAAAAGCAAGGCTAGAAGAGAAAGCTCAAAAGGAGAGCTTACACGCTGGCAGTTGTGCGAGACGGGTTGAGACTAGGAAGGACCTTCAGCCACAGCTCGAGAGCGATTCGTTACACGTGGAGCGCTAGATTATCGTCGCCGTAAAAGGCAACTTCCGTCATAGCGTGTCTCGAAGAAACATATCATGGTCAATATGAACAGAGGGAAGTTGCACGCCATCAAATCGTCTGCAGTATGTATACTTGGCGTCGATGCAAATTAAAAGTGGATGAAACATGCCAACGACACACATAGTTCAGGGACCGCGAAGCTGCTAGCCGATCGCATAGCCTACGCGACGTACGACCATAGTAGCGTTCGACGGCGACTCGGCGAGTTTCAGGGTTCAGACTTATGGGCATAGGAAACCTCAGACTCTATTTCGCGACATACCACCGTTGACCATTGCCAGACACAACAGAAGGACCGGTGTCCCCAACAATGCTCATCGACGTCGCGGCATTGTACTCGCCAATGGATGAACAATATTCATATCTCCATGCAACATGTCTAATGGTGCTCCTCCTGCGGTTTATGTGTATCATGCGCGTGTCCATGTCCGTGCTCCTCCCAAGGATGGCTCAAGCCCTACAAGCGAGTGAGTTAGACAATAAGGAAGAAAGCGCACAACCCACCAGAAGCTTCGGACCGTCCTTGCTGCATTCCGAGTCAACAGAGGTCATCCAGACTTAAACACAACGCACCGGAATCGATAGAAGATGAAGAACCATGTTATGGCTCCCAGCGAGGTCGCAAGGAAGCGGTGGTGGAACTTGACTGGATGCGGATGGAATCCCGGTGCTAGATCATGCACGTATCAGCGTCCACTCGACTTTGCAGCGAAGGAGGATGCATACAGTAGTGTCCGCCGGCCATGGTGAATGCAGGACTCGAGGAGGATGTTTGCGCGTGTTGCGCCTTCTGCTTTTCCCGAAAAGGAAACGAAACGCCGCCTCTCGCTGCCTGCTATATTTCTTCAGCGCTCTCTCCCTCGTGCACTGTTGCCAGACGCGCCCCGTGCTCGCTTTTGACTGCATATACCGATGGCAAACGATGATCATACAGAACAAAATTCTCCCTTCGTCATGTTCCGCGCGCCCAACAGGTCGTTTAAGCGGATATTCAAAGGTAAGTCGCGCTTTCCTCTCATGCCCACCCCGGATTCTCACCGACCAAAGACCGCTCGCTCAGTGAGACTATCGAGTCGGTGAGGGACAAGCTGCGGCTGCGTGACGAGACCATAAAGCTTGCCTACTTGGAAGGCGATATCACCGTCGACCTCGAGGATGGTGAGCCCCCCCCCCCCCTCTTGGAGATAGTATACCGCCTAATCGTGCACTCATTTGTACAGAGGGCGACTTTGAGGCTTTTCGCGCTACCGTAGTAACCGCACGACCAAACACAACCCTGCATGTGCTCGTCACCATAGGTGATCCGTCGCACCCCGTCGATCGCGAGCAGCATCATCGCCAACAATCAGAGGATACCGTAAGCGTATTTATTACTTCTCGAACTCTTGCTATAGATTCAGTGCAGGTGCGTCCAAAGCGAAAACGAAAGCATCGTTCTGCGGACTTATCGGTAGATTGCATTCACTAGCATTGTCGACGAATTTCACTTATGCTCACGTGTAGGACGCGGAGGAGGACACGGAAGAGGACCAAAGCCGCATAGCGGAACCCGCAGAGGTACTCCATAGACAGCACACTGCATCTCCACCCACCGAAGCTCCTGCCGAGCCCCCGAAAAAGAAACGCAGGAAGCAGAAGAAGGATTCGAAGCACGCAAAGTCCTCTGAACCAGTCTCTCAACCCTCCGAGCTTGCTGGTAAGCACTGCGCACGAGGCCAGCCAGTCACATCGTATAGCTCTCACATACTATAGACGCGACACCTCCGGCTTCCGAGCCTCCTGCTGATAGTCCTGTGGCGGGTCCGTCCACAAGTAAGCCGAAACGGCGGCACAAGGACATCCCACAACCTTCGGGCACCGAACCCTCACCTCCCAAGAGCTCGCAGGACAAGTCGGCCTTGCGCGCAAGCAACTCTGAAGACGATGGTGAACCGGCGCAAACGGCCGAACCTGGTAAAGCAAGGAAGCGCAAACGTACGCTTTCACAAGGCTCTGACGTTGCTTCCCGCGAAGCAGCCGTCCTTGAGGAGGATGAGCCGGATACAGGCAGTGCGCCTGTAGCAGGCCCATCTTTCTCACCCTCGCCACCTGCCGACCGGCGACCAGACAAGTCTGGCCCTTCCGCACGACTGCGAGCGGAATTAGCGAAGCAGAAAAAGAAGAAGAAGCACGCTGTCCTTGATGATGAAGAAGGTAACCGCAATGCCCCTATGGCCGCTCAGCCCGCCCCTCCGGAAGACTCTGCAACCGGCCCGCCTGCTAAGAAACTGAAAAAGAAGGTCACGATCGCAGTTTCTCCCGTGCAGAGTGAAGACGAAGACGGTAGGCCAGAGACGAGCGGGAACGTTCGGGAGGAGCCTGCGAAGCAGAAGAAGGCCCAGACTCGTCGAAGAGTTCGGACGGAAGAGAGCAGTACCGCGACGGCGCGGAAGGAGACGCAGGTGGAGAGTAACACAGAGTCCGCCGAGGAAGTTTCATCCGAGACCGAGGCTGCCCCGGCTTCGACCTCTCCCGCTGGTGTCAGCGCAAACCCAGAACAGCAAGATAGTGCGACGAAGAGAAGGCAGAAGAAAAAAAAGCAGACGGAGGAAGAGCAGCCTCCAGCCGTCCTCTCCGCTGTTCAGCCTCCTTTAGCCGCAAAACCCAACAAGCCGGCCAAGGCGAAGAAGACGAAGGCACCAGTACAAGAGTCCGAATCCCAATCCCAATCTGAGCCCGAGCCCGAGACTGAGCCTGAGCCTGCTCCCTCTCCGGCTGCTCCAGTTGCCACCCCAAAGGGCAAGTCTGGCAGGCCGGCGAAGAAGACGAAAAAGCAGGTCGCGCAGCAGCAGCAGGCTGCCGATGTCGAGGCAGCCCCTCCAGCTCCTGAACCAGCCGTAGGTGAGCCGTCAAAAAGGCCGGCTAGGGCAAAGAAGACGCGTGCGGGGCAGGAGGGACCGAAGGATGATGGGGCTGTGCATGACGTCCAGGTGGTCGAGCAGGCCGTTGCTAGTGAAGAGGCCTCAGCGCAAAACAAGCCAGCGAAGAAGACGACGAGGAAGAAGAAAGCAGAGGGAAAGCAACCGGAGACTGATCCTGACCCTGCCACCGCCCCGACTTCGACGCCTGCTGCAAACGCAATCCCATCTCCTCAAGATGAACCAGCTGCGAAACAGACTAAAGCGAAGAAGGCTCGCAAGGTTGTATTTGAATCGAGTACCGCCCCTGTAGCTACTGCGTCGACTTCATCGCCGAATGTTTCGCGTCCCAAAGGTCAGTGATGATTTTAGCACATTACTGTTCGTATGAGTTCGAATTTTGCGCGTTGATTAGGTTCCACTGCGCAACCGTCAAGCGATGTATCTGAACCGCGCCCTACCGCCGGTACGTTCTACCCTATTTGCATTCCTTGCAAAGCTATAATCATATCGACATTTGGATAGAAGCTGCAAGCGCATCGCAGGAGGCAGTCGAAACACATTTGCCTGCTTCGAAGGCCAAGGGGCGCAAGGGCAAGAAGAACACACCATCTACTAAACCTGCTGAGGAGAAGGCAGCTCGCTCACGTACGAATCTAGTCTCAAGTAAATCGGATGTGACAGCTAAGCTGACCCTTGAGCAGCGTCTGATAATGATAACATGTGGGCGGATATCTTCAAAATAGTGGACCAAAAGCGTGCGTCATCCTCCCATGCTGAGGTCAACAAGACACCTGAGGTACAGCCTCGCGTCGCTAAGGGGAAGCAGGGCAAGTCCAAGCTAAGCACGTCTAGGGTGCCGGGGGATGATCCGGAGACCACAACAGTGGAACCGACTGTCGAGCAGGAGGTGCCGTCGACTCGACCTGCGCCTCCTGTTCCGGGCAGTGAGAGTAGAACTCCCGTTGCACCCACGAGTGGGACAACTGTCGAAGGTAAATCTTCGCGAAATGCTACTACTCCGCCTCCGGACGCTGAGCGATATGTCCCAGCTCTGCCCGCGAAAGACCCCACGCTAGTTATTCCATTACCGCGGACTACCTCCTTTTCCTCCTCGCGGTCTGCTGTAGAATCGACTGGAACGACCGAGGCTGCAGCCTCCGAAGACGTTCACTCGCCATCGGGTCCACAACCCCATGCGGAGCTGTCGCAGGCGAATGTTGCCGCGATCGACACAGAGACCCGGTCAAAGCCGCCAAGCCCCGGCGTTTCTCTTGCTGCTGGCACAAAGGTAACGGTCCAGGGCCAGGGTGAAAGCAGTAGCGACGAGAGCTCCAGCAGTGATGACGAGAGCTCCAACAGTGACGACGAGGATGAGGGCGATGGCGAGGCCGAGGCTGGGGTGAAGCAATCTGCCAATGTCACTGCGAGCTCGGTGAACATGGAATCCGCTGCCCTTCTCCGAGGTCCTGTGTCACGACGCAGCATTCTTGACGAGATACCTTCGGAAAGCAGTAGTGAAGATGAGAATGAAGATGCTCATGAGGAGGAGGAGGAGGAGGAGGAGGAGATGGGGCTTGACAAGCAAAAGCGCCGTCTGTCGCGAAGTTACATCCGGGCTATATTCAGTTCAAATGAGGGTGTGGACGCGAATCTCAACGACGAAGAGGAAGAGGTTGTGCCTCCATCTCAAGATACTACTCTGAAACAGGCATGTTTGTATCGACTTGGATGCAGCGAGTTCTCGACAGCTGACATTGATCTGTAGGGCACCGTCGAAAATCCCCTCAATCTGGACGGCATCTCAGTCAGAGAGAAACCCGTTTCAGTGCGAGAAGGAAAGTCGCCAAGCGCTCGAGAGGGCGATAAGTCCCAAGTAAACTTGGCAGCTGGACGGGAGGGGCTTGAAGCTCAGAGCAGTGCGGAGAAGAACGGTAAAGCTACATTCCAGAAAATCTATGCGTCGCAGGGCAGCAAACTTCTGGGGGAATCACCTGCGCAAGAATCTGACCGCGTTCAAAACAGCTCGAAGTCCACGTCTAGTGCTGATGCTACGATCAGGATTGAGCAAAGGAATTTGGACGTCCTCACAGAAGCTGCGTCAAGGAATGCGGAAGTGCCATCGTCCCCGTCCCATGACGAGCGCGAGGAGAGATTAGTCGCTGAAGCTCTCCCCGCAGCAGAAGTACGAAGCGCGGACTCAGGGCCATCGATCAAGCCTCCCATTCAGCCCGACACCGATGATGTAGTCGGCTCTATCACGCTGGTGATTCCTGACCCGAGCCAGGCTAACATAGACATTGGAGACATCATCCTGCCAGCCGATGACCTGCTAGAAGCCGTCGATCACAGTATGCCGGACAACGTCTCAATCGAGCAGGATGCCGAAGAGTCGCGGCCGAGTACTTCGTCTCCGTACAGTTCACCTAGAAAGGGTACGTTGAAGCGCATGAAGGACCGTCGCGGGAGAACCCCGAAGGACAGCGAGCTGCCTGTCCTTGCCTCGGAGAACTTTGAGGAGCTAGCTCAGTCAACGCCTGCACGTGCCGCAAAGCCAGATTCATCACTGCCTCAGAGCGATTCCGAGCCGATCGCTGCGCGGATTCGCAAGTCTGCCCGGAAGGCTGCATTGACGACGCGCAAGTCGTCTCTGCTGACGACACCCACTCCATCCGCCGCGAAGCGACGGGGACGACCGCCGCTATCAAAAGAGGGGAAAGTTCGAACGAAAGCGGAGAAAGAACAAGCCGCTGCCAAGAAAAGGATTGCAGACGAGAAGATCAAGGAGGCAGAGAAGGCGGAGAAGGCAAGCCCGCGACAGAAAGCGTCTGCCGCGAAGAAGAGTGTCAAAGGCGTGAAGCCCGCTAGCGCGCTCAAAGTTGTGACCAATACTGCCGACGACGACGATAAACCCTCCGCCGACGATGGTTCGGCTACACCTCGCCCAACCATTCAAGATGTACAGCCCCCGGCTTGGACGACGTTGACACAGGGTGGGGATGAGCTTACTGTTGAACCAGAGTCACTGCTCGATGAGCTGGGGTCAAGCAGTCCCGCCCGCAGCGCATCTGGAACAGGCCCCCTTCCGGCGAAGAGATTATTTGCAGTTGAGATCGTGCGTAGCAAGGCGAGCTCGCAACCCGTTGCTAAGGTTGCGGATGATCACAATGCATCTCAGTCTTCTCAAGACACAGCATCGGATGTGCATGCCGCAAGCCAAGAATCGAGGGATGCCGATGAAGGTGATGCGCTCTTCCTACCGGACAATAGTCAGTATCAAACGCAGCAAAATACGCAGAACCTCATCTCTGCGAAAGGCACGATGCCAACCCCATTTCCATCCATTGACTCTGACCCGGACGATGGCGCTTTAACCATCATGAAGCGTCCGGCTGCGCGCTCAGGTTTATGGAATGCGAAAACACAGTTCCGCCGTCTGTCGGATATGACGAGTCAGCAGCTTTTCCGTCCCTTGGACAGCAGCAGAGCGTCGTCGACGCCGGCCGTGGCCAACAAGAGTGGCGTTACTGTCCAGATCGAAGGTGATGACGAGAGCTCCTCCTCCTCGGACGAGTCGGGGTCGGATTCGGACACGGTAACAAAGTCGCATATTCCGCAGGACAGGAGAGCAGGCGCGGGCGTTCAGAAACAGAAGAAATCCGGACTTACATCTTTCACTAAGTAAAGCCCATCTAGCATCTTTCATGATTTCATCACTATGTAGTGCAATTGGTTCCATATCGTTGATTGGATATCTCATCAATGTACTGTAGCGTTTCAATTCGTATCGGTTGGGATATCGCTCAGAACGGACGACGAGAACGCGACAACGATGCTATGATGATAGCGTACAGCGTATATAATGACATGAAACTGCTGGTTTACAGACTGAGCAATTGCATAGACCAAAAGCATTGAAGAGAACCCGCAGATAAGTCTGTTACTTTGACATCCAAACCGACATGATTCCAAAGAAAACGCATCCTGTTCCACTATAACTGACAGCCAACTCAACTGGGCTTTGAATCTCGTTCAAGGGAAGAATCCGTCCCAAGGATTGTCCAGCCTGTAACCGCCATGGTTCCTCGCATTTGACGGAGCAAATTTGGTCGGACTGGTCTCTCCAGCTGCACCAGCAGCGGATCGCACGATAGACTTGATGGCGTACACCTCGATAGGCCGTTCTTTTACCACCGCGCGGCAAGACGGGCAAGTGTAGTCAGGATGATGCTGCAGGATGGCTACGCGGAGTTGTGACTCCAGCTCGATGCGCTGTTGGGCTGACAGGAAGGGGTCTCGAAGAGCGATGCGGTATGCCTCCAAGTTCGGCATGTTGTGATGGGGGTGAGTGCTCATGTATTGTGCGAGTTGGCTACCGAACCACCCTTGCAGGCAGTTCTGGCAGAACGTGTGGCCGCATGCGAGACTAGCCGTCACACAATCAGTCAACAACGTGTGGCAATAAGGATGACGGACGTACGTGCTCGGCGTCCACATACGAAGCGTGCAAATCTCGCAGTTGGTTGCATCGTCTAACGATGACTGGATAGAACGTGAGAACGGGAGCCATGCGACGAACAACGCCAGTACGTACCCCAGACATCGCCTGCTGCGAAGCTTTCTCCATCTCTCGTGCCCGCGCTTTCGCACTTGAAAGCTCTCCTTTGAGACGCGCGATCTCCTGAGGCGCCCAATATCACAGTAATCAGAACTGTTGTTTATAGCTGGTGCATATGGCATGCTCACATCCTGCATGCTCTTCATCTGATGCTGCACGTTGCCAATCGTGCTCTTTGAACGGTGGACGGTCTTCGACTTGAGCGCCTCTTCATCGGAAGATATCTCGACAATCTCAACATTAGGGGGGAATGGGAACGGCGTCCCCGCCCGCATTCTGCCTTTCGCCTTTGGCTTGTTGGGGCTCGAGGGAGCCTTGGCTGGAGCCTCATCGTCTGAAGAGAGGATTATCACGTCCACGTCGGGGACGATGCGAGTAGCGTTGGTCGGCTGCGAATGCAACGGCTGGCGACTGCGAGCTCGAGCTGCAGGCATGGTAATTATCGATCCTTTGTGAGCGTTGTGATTGCGGTGTGCGAGAGGTTGAAAGCGAAAAAGCGGGGGTGATGGGCTCAAGCGCGGTGGAAGTGGCCAAGGCGATTGGCGAATGCACGCGTACTGTGCGGCCCAACTTAGAGCCACTCGCGGTACTTCCAGCCACCGCGTGTCACTCGCCACCTCGCCACCCACCATGAGGAAAATGACAACATTATTCGAGCCCATCGCAAACGCTTGTAAATGAAAAGTGATAGTACAAGTCCATGATTTCGAGACGAAGAGTTGAAAACGCGTTTCATCTCGAAATCTCAAAACGAGCAATCTGCACAGGCGGACGATCGTCCACGAGACACCGACTGCGTGTGCCGACGGAAGATAAAAGTACGTATCGTATGGGCACGTCGACTAATACACGGACTATTTTAACGGAAGGTTGCCTACAACTCCTAAATGTCAATTGTCGCGAATAACGGATCCACCGTACCATCATGGCGCACTCAGCTCGTAATTGTCGGTTTCATCGGGAGTACTAGCGCCAGACTTGCGCATTTCTTTGATCTTCACAGGGGACTCTGTACCACGCCTGCAAGGTGTTCCATCGTCCAACTCAACCCGTTGCTCCACAGCAACCCGAATCTCCGTTGGCTGGATGCGATTATTGAATAATTGACGTAAGTTGAAGGGACTTGCGATCTGATGACGGGCCACTTGAGGCAGAGAACAAATATGGCTTGCAGGCAACTTACTGTATCTGGTAGGTTGATCTCTGTGATCCCCCCGAATTTTTCCCTCAATGATGCTCTTGACGTTAACAGCTGATGAGCGTCAGACGTTACCACATAACCTTGAAGATGTGTGGTACTCACAGCTAACAAGGAGATTCTATGATGAAACACTGTGAGACGGTTCGAGCGAGAACAGCGGCGAATCAGCGTACTTACGTGTAGACATGGCCCATTGGCTGTCACCAGTTTCAATCAGACATTCTTTCGAAATCGTGCCACAATACGCACAATAGCAAATATGAAGCACCAATTGGCATTTTTGAATGCGTTCTGTTTCAAACACTTAGCCGTTGTGCGTCGCAATCCGAATGAGGACTCACAAAGAAAGCGAGATCAAGCGACTGGATGCAGGTCTTCTGATTAGTGGAAGATATCTGGCACAAGCGAGGAGATTCTCACCGAGACCATAGCGTTAATTAATGAAGTCTGCACGCAGGTGTTTATCAAGCGCAAAATTACATTGTCCGTTCCTGATAGTACCTTGTTAGCATTATCGAAAGGTATCACAGAGCTGGACTTACTTTTGAATCCTGTACGGCTTTTCAGCAGGTAATAGAGCAGCGAGAAACTACAACAACAGCGTCAGAAGCGTATTATACGTCTTCTTTAGACGTACGCTATCAGCAGGTCGCATGCAGATGCAATGGTAAGTCCGACGTTGGTCAGATCAACGTCGGGCATATCCCGTGACGATCTGTGTGGGATTAAGTTTTCGCAGCACCAGTAACCCTTTACGGCGCACGCACTCGGAAGAGCCGAGAGTTATAATGGTATCAACGACTATCAGCGCGGCACCTGATATAGAGAGCGTTGACGAGATGACAAAGAGCGGCTTGCTTGTACCCAAGATCTTCACCCGCCAAGCGAAGAATTGCTGTATGGGACAAGATACTCTGCCATTTAGTTACATCGTGTGAGCGCAGATCGACGAGAAAACGTGAATCACGTACAATACAACGAAGAGACGTGTCGTCACATACGGCCATGGAGTGTCTTCCAAATGCTTTGGGGACCCGAAATTATCAACGGCATAGTACCACAGCATGTACCACGAGATTGCCGTATGACAACCACCGACCAGGCATACATAACATACAAGTAGTCTGGAGGAATGAATCTGAGACTAATTCACCGAGCAGAACACTGCAGTTCACGAACCGATCGCAGCACGTACCTGCGCCTTCAGAGCGGAGATACTGGAAGTACTGTATGGAGCAATACCCAAACAAGAACGCGTTGATTGCGACTGCAATTATGATGGGACCCAGATAATCGTGTACGATCTTGGAGTCCGAGCTGTCCATACGTGCGAGGCCTTGAGACTGAGCTGAAAAAACGGAAGAGGGTTCCTTCGCCGAGAAGGACCAGAGTAGACCAAGAACTCATCGCCCAATATTTGCCTTCTTGTACAAGTCTCGACCAAAGTGCGGAGTCGTCCAACTTCGCTACAATTGCCGATACTGTATGAGGTACGTTCTCCGTGATGTATCATGTGGATTGTCAGGGTCGATAGTTAAGTTAGCAACCGCTACTAGCTTGAGCGCCACCGTTAATATCGCGAAATCATCGGAAGACAACCGCTCAGGAGAGGCCGAGTGGTCAGTTTCTTGGTGCCCATTGACGTATAGCAGCTTAGCGAATATAAGCCCCGATTGAAACGCCCAGCACTTGCCCAAATATCGAGTTCCTAGGCACTGCCGCCGAAATCTCCATTTGGACCATCAAGGACCATATGGAGACCGGGAGTCCACCGAGATTAGGGCATCTCCCTGAGATCGCGGTCTCCGCGTACATCCAGCATAAGATCGGTGTCCCCACCAGCGAATTTCACACTCGATTAATGAGTGGAGGAATCTGAAGAAAATAGGACAGATAATGGAATCCGTGTTTCCGCACGCGACTCCCTGATGGAAATCGTCTTTCGTGGTGGAGATGGAATTTCCATACGTCGATGCCCGATGCCGCTGAGAGTCTATTTCAAGATTAGGGTTGTGAGCTTGTTCGAAGGACGGGAAGATACGCTCAGACTAACCTGGTGGCGAGGATGTGGCGGCGTAGGGCGCCTAAATGCCATGTGCTGATCTTGGCCGGCGGTCACGACGCCACTCGTGCCACACTGCAGCTTGCCCATTCACTGTTCTCTGATAATTACACTCATCTCTACTGCTACTACACCGTACAGCCCAAATGCAAGCGGATGCTGACGATTCCGACTGTCCTCCCGCCCAATTTCATCCCCTGTTCTCCTCTCCGGACGGGGACGTGATCCTCGGCTCAAAAGACCGCACCCTCTTCCGCATGCACTCATTCACTCTCAAGACGACGTCGGGGTGGTTCCGCTCTATGTTCTCGCTTCCTCCGCGTGGCGAGTCACCCAGTGCTGCTGACGCCATCTACCTCGACGAGGACACGGCGACGCTCGAAAGCTTGCTGCAAATGATCAGCGGCCTCCCTATTCCTGCGCTCGACTCGTACGCCGTGGTCGAGCCCCTCCTGCTTGCCGCTGAGAAGTACGATATGCCCGGTCCGATGTCCGTCGTGCGAGCACTGGTGATGACGCCGTCGTTTCTCGCGGAACCGCTACGACTTTATGCGATGGCATGCCGCTACGGCTGGCATGACGAGGCACGCGTTGCCTCTCAGAAAACCCTCACCATTGATCTGCATGCCCCGGAGCACCGTCCGACGCTTCTCAAGCTCGGGACACCGGCACTTCTCAGCCTCATTGAGCTGCACCACGCCAGGCGGGAGGCGCTGCGACGGCGGCTGAACGACCCGCCATTCGTCAATGACGACACGGACACATTCTGCTCGAACTGCGGTGAGATCGTCGACTACCACACTTGGCGCGAGCTCAAGTACGTCATCATCCTCGAGATGGACGTCCGTCCGCTCGGCGACACCATCTGTGGGAGCGGCCTGCTCGAGTGGTCGGCTGCGCGTACGTGTTGGGATGCGCGGTGTGCCAGCTGCAGTCGCGTGCTCTATGACAAGAACGAGACGTTGCGCGTCATTCGCGAGTGCATTGACCAGCTACCCACCACGGTCGAGTGAGTGCGTCCATTGTACTTTTCCATACATGGATGTCTGTTGGCTGATTGCGGGTGCTTCAGGAACTTTGAATCTGCCATCACTATAACATGACAATTGCTCGTTCTATACGCTCTATTTATTTTTGCTCATGTCGATTTGGGACGATGCAACGGGTCACAATCTGTTGAAGGTGCTGCTGGAGCCTGCATCTAGTATCTTTGTCTCGCCTGCGGCCTTTGCAACATTCGTTCTAGTTGGTCTCTCACCATCACTATGTTCCAGCTGAACTTTACTCTATCTGACTTTCCCGTAGCTTATACATGACGTTCTCTGACGCTGCTGGTTTCTCCAATGATACATGAGCGCAGTTGCGGCTTTTTAGTGCTTCTGTTGCATGCTCTTAGATGGCAGGGTCCAAGAGGTCACAATGCGAATTGATGAGCTCTGTTCGAGTGATGTCACTACATTTGTGAGAGCGGGTTTGTGCTGGTAACGGCCAATATACAGCATGTTGAGATCAACTGCTCACTTCATTCACTTCTATTAATTTGGCCGATATCTAACCAGCGAGTCAAAGCCCCTGATCGTCGACCGAAGCAACGATGAGCTCCCTTCTGCCGATAACAGTCTTGTGCCGATAACAATCAATTTTCCATCGCGATTAGCAATCAGGTCGATATTTCCTTAATATCTCTATGTAGAATCAGGGATCCACTCACTGTGGGTGGTGCTGGAGAATTTCTCCGCCACCACCGCGCGGTATGCGCGCACGTGACCGCGTCTCATAATGCAAGACGCTACAAGCACAATCGCTCCTCTATGGACTCATATCGAGTTAGAGTTACGGCATGTTCGTGATGAAAATATACACATCAACTGGCTAGGAGTCGCTAATTGCCACACGCAATATGTCTGCTCTGCGAATGGTCACGGGTCGTCACGAGTGACAGAGTGCTGTGACTACTTGTGACTAACCCCTACGGTTCACGCCACCGTCCAGCGAGGCAGCGGCACTGCAGCGGCTTTCTCGCCTGCGTTCACACCTGCTCGTCCTACGCAACCCACACCCACGATGAATGTCAAGGATCTATTGATACTGTGTCTTGCCGGAGCCCTGTTATGTCTGGACGTCTCCTCGTCGCCTACACCACCAACATTGCGCGATACGCACCCCCGACCTCTCGTCATCTGGCATGGCCTCGGTGACTCTTATGCTTCGCCCGGAATTCTCGAGTTCATCGCGAGAGTGAAGGATATGCATCCTGGGATTTTCGTGCACTCTATATATGTGGACCAGAACCCGGAGGAAGACACAAGAGCTACGTGGGTGCGTCATTCGGTCAGCGGTATGAGAGCAGGGTATTCATACTCGGCGACGTAAAGTTTGGAAACGTCAATGAGCAGTTGGAGCAGGTCTCTGAGCAACTTGCGAATCACACCGAGCTGAATGGTGGCTTTGATGCTATCGGTTTCTCGCAAGGTGCGTACACCTTTCGCTGCAGGAACATCGTCATGAACCTCTTGTTGCACGTTTCTCCTAGGCGGACAGTTCCTACGCGCATACGTGGAGCGCTACAATACTCCGCCAGTACACAACTTGATCACTTTCGGCGCACAACACATGGGTATCTCAGACATACCCGGATGTCGCCCGCTGGACGTCGTATGCCAGCTCGCACGTCGAGCCGCGCAAGGCGGCGTCTACACGGACTGGGCTCAGAAGAACCTTGTTCAGGTATGTAGCGCCTTCCGCACAGCTATGCTCAAAACGATAGTCCCCGGCCTAAACAAGCGCTATTGTCATCGACCCGTTCAGGGTGTGACGGACATGAATTGTGGTGGGTGCGACCACACAGAGGTCATGCTTCAACTCTTGACCCTGCCTTGACCCGGGCCCCGGGCCAAGGATGTGAGGCGGGGACCTATCGTTTTGAATTGGGTGGTCATTCACTTGTTTCGTTTGTGCTTGATCTTTGCATTCCAGGCGCAATATTATCGTGACCCTGCACGCCTGGACATGTATCTCGCCTCCAACCAATTCCTGGCCTCCATCAACAACGAATTGCCAGACACCGCAAACAGCACCTACAGCGACAATCTCGTCTCGCTGAACAAGCTGGTACTTGTGCTCTTCCTGCAGGACAAAACGGTTGTTCCGAAGGAGAGCAGCTGGTTCGGATCCTACGCGGTGCCGGACAACGGGACGAATGCGAAGACCATCGTGCCGATGCGCATGCAACCCCTTTATCTCGAAAACTGGATTGGGCTGAAAACCCTGGACCGGCGCGGCGACGTCATCCTCGAGACCTGCGAGGGCGAGCACATGCAGCTGTCTGATGATTGCTGGCTGCCTCTTGCAAAGAGGTTTGTCGGAGGCCTTGTCGAGGATACCCGCGAGGTTTTGCTTGTCCAGTGATACCTCGACTGTATGCGCATAAAATATCGAGATACCTCCTCTGTATAAGTTGTAGTATGTATGTATTGTATCTTGTTCTGATGGTCGTGACTGGTACGTTGCATCAGATCATAATGTCGTTAACAGGCATCTCCATGGTTCCTTCCAGCAATTGATCCAGAACGCGGGGATATTGCCTGATCAAATTGATATTCATCAGCATTCAAGCGGCTCGTAACGCAGCTTTGCGGAGAACTCACCGGCTATCGCAGCTTTCTCAACTCGTTCAGGATGAGGGCATAATCCGCCGATCCCTCACTCCATCTGTGTGAACAGCCAGCCTTCTCCAAAATCCACTCTCGTCTTGAGCCAGGTAGGCTGCAGAATGCGAGATCTGGGGCATGCTCGATCTCATTCGGACAGACTGGGGCTTCTATGCTCTCCATGGCCGTGATACATCCCGAATCAACTTCCTCCCATCCAGAGCTTCCGTCGTCTGAGGAGTAATACGTGCCTTGGCTGTCCGAGTCCGAGTCCGTGTTGTCCTCCGCGAATACTATGGGTGAGGAGATCTCGGACATGGCGCTCAGCCTTGCTCCCTCTCGTTTGTGCCCCGTTTCAGAAGGAGCACAGCACGGCCGGTCCGAGAGACTGATGCGGAAACACAGCCGAGGACGCGATGGTGCGTTAACCGTCGATTCCGCCGGCTGCTTAATACATGTCTCACGGGGTGTGGGGGTGGGCAAGGGTCGTAAGCGGCGACGGACTGCCAGCAGCACGGCAGGGATGGGCAGAGGACGGGGCAGAGGACGGGTAGATGTGCCAGATGCTGCGGAACTGCTCGGTAAACAAGGCTCGGAGCGGGGGCGATGCAAAGTGCCAACCGGAGGTGTAGGGAGCGGGCGCGGGTGTATTCGAGGCGACGATGGAGCGGAGTGAGGGATGCACGAGGATGTGGACACCGCTGGTTGTGGCAAGGGACGTACAGGCCTGCAGACACGCGCTGCATGGTCCGCTACTTGACAGCAGGCGCTGGACGGACCGTCGGCGCAGACGAACACCGAGCATCCGTCCTGCACGTTGCATCTCACAAACGGGACCTGCGGACATATCCATGGATGGCTTCTGCTGTCTGCTGAACCATGCTGTGCACTATGTACCGTGCATGACGAAGGCCACTGGGAAACAACAACATCGTTTAATCTGATGGATCATTCCAGCAATGGAATACTCACAGTTGACATGATAATGCAAAATTCACTAGCTTCATGAAAAGGAGGGTGAGAGCTCCAGGGCTCAACGAAACGCAAGGCAAGCGGTCTTCATATACTCGACTGTTGACGGCCCTTGTCGTCCTCCTCCCTCGCGGTGCACGCAGGCATGGATGAACCGAGACACGTTTTGATTACCGCGACGGCGGCATACATGGAGCACTTTTCCTTATTAGACACCAAGCGTTGATTGTGACGTGCACAGCCTCGAGAAATTAATTAGTTAATGGCAATTAAGTACATGCCGAAGAATGGTATTGGCATGTGCCAAGGAGATTCCAACAACGACACGGAATAGCCAACTATCGTACCGACCTTCGTTGCAGGCTTTGACAACTGAGAATTGACTCATGGATTAGCTTGCAAGAATTTGCTTCATTCGAAAGCATTTCAACCGCAGGAATTCATGCGCGAATAGGTCTTCTGAGGCCGCCGCATTTGTTCGCTAACGCCATCGTACCTGAGATCTGAGCTCGACTGGGTCTGGCAATTGTTTACGCCTGTGAAATAAACATGGAGATTGAAACGCTTAGCGCGTTGGGTTAGACGCGAGAGAACGTTATGGTGAGACATAGCGTTAATCAAAACATCCTGGAGCGATCATCGGCCTCATTACAACGGGTGATCAAAAAGGATAGCATATAACGACAATGTCGAGAAATGACCTTGCGATAGTCCTGGGTCGAGAGAGAGCGAACAGCCTCGTATGTTCACACAATGCTACTGAATCCACATACGGCGTTGGCATTTGGATTGAGAGCTCAGCTAGGGGGAGTTTCAAAGTGTGTCAGATCTGAGCTTTAAGTGGTGCCCCGCGCGCCCAGCGAGGACAAAGTCATACAGGAGTCAGGACATTCAAACAGGTTCAAGGATAGACACTTGGACTGCAGACGCTCGAGCGCGACCCCCGTGACCGTGTTGTAACGCGTCGCGCGTGCTTTTCGCGTCGATGGTGCTCCTCGCCTCGAACCCCCATCATGTCTACCAGCTACGTCCTTGAGGTACGTGCCT